ATATAAAAAGATAAAAGATGTAAAAATAATATGGATGTAGTTAACTAAAAATAATGTAATAATCAAATATAGGTAAGAGTAAAGAATTTTTAAATTTAAAATAAAAATCAAATGAAGTAATTAAATTTGAAATTAATGAATATTTTATGGAATAAATATTAAAAAATTGTAATGATGTTAAAATTATCTAATGTAATAATAATTGTTTGTAATAATAATTATAGTGGAGTATGTTTTATATTATCATTATATTATATTTTATATTATCACTTAAATTATATATATAAAAAAAGATAAACAATTATAGATTTCATATAGTATACATATAGAAAAAAAAAAGAGAATAAAATATTTTTCATTTGTTTAGGCAATAATGAAAAGGACAGATTTTAGTCAATTTTATGTTAAATTTCCAGTTTTAGTAACTGTTTTAGTAAGTTAATTTCTAGTTTCTAGTTCTACTATTCCTAAATATGCATTTATGAATTTTTAAACTTTATCTATTTTTAAACTTATTATAAAGTCAAATTTCAACTTTTTTTAAAATTTATTTTTTCCAAGAATTTTTTTGTTTTTTTTCTTATCTCTATTGATCATATAATCATATTTTATATCTGTAGCTATTCAATTGTAATTATTTAGGTTTGCCGTTAAACAAATTTATGACTAAAATAATACTATTTTTAAAATTAGATTTTTTTTTCCTATGGTTTGACCAACATTCATAATACGTAACTTCATGTTTAACATTCAAATTTTAACAGAATTGAGATAATATTCATTAAAGAGATTTTATTTTTCATTTTTTTCTATATAATAATAAATTTTTCACAGAATTTTAACTAAATAAATGTTTTTCCCATTCTATCTAATCCATATCAAATGATTTTGTTTTTCTTTATAAAATAACGTGTTGATAAGAAATATTTATTTAAACTATTGTGAAGAATTTAATAAAATGTTTACATCAATTATTTAATTGTTTGAAAGAGCTCAAGAATCATGTTTTTTTATCGTATTAATTGATTATCATAATTTGTTGAATATGGATTGGAATTTTGCAGTTTTAATTTTAATTATTGGATTTAGAAAAAAATGCTAATAATAAATTGAGAAAATAAATTCTTTTTTAAATTAAAAATCATTGTTTTCGTTTTAGGATTTGTATTGAATTCTTCAAAAATTTATTAATACTTTCAAGAAAAAAATTTACAATTTTAACATATTAATATTTTATATTTATAATGTCATTATTTTTTTTGCTATACTATATATTACGAGGATTATGAAAATATAAACATATTGTTGAAAATAGAGTTGATTTTGAGAAATCAATAAATAGAGAAGACAGAAAAGTAAAAAATGTAGAAGCAAAATAATTAATGATATTTTTACACATAAAGATATAATTTTTACACAAAAATAATGTAAAATGAATAATAATAATATATAATCCATTCAGTAAGTAATAAATATCAGAATATTAATTACACTTTAATATTAATTATGTAATAAGAAATGTTATTCTTGAAATTCTAATTTCAAACTTTTTTAAGACATTGTATTGCTCAATCATGGATATTCAAGGAAAGATCTCATAATTTCGATCGTAAATTCAAAATATTTTGAAACTTTGGAGATATATGT